TCCCCCCTCCCCCCCCCTCCCCTTCCCCCCTCCCCTCCCCTTCCCCTTCCCTCCTCTTTGCTCTTTTTCTCGTCTTTCGAGTCTCTTTTCTTCCCTTCTCTTCTCTTTGGGCCACTTCCTGAGCATACGGTTTCAGATAGTGGGTAGTCACAGAATCTGCACAGTCAATTTTGAAATTTGGTCACCTTGAACTAGTACATCAGAAAGAGTTTTGATCTCCAAACATCAGAAACTCCTGTGTTGGTGGCATCATAAAATTTGGGTTCTGCTGTGGCAGGGAGCTCAGGGCATTAGCATTCCATACTGGTCTTCCAGGACTGTGGTCAAATATGTAGTAATAGTGGTGACTAACATCTGTCTAGTGCTTGATAAAGTACATCTACATGTCCTAATCTCACTTAATACACACAGCAACTTTGTGTTTGGGTACTATTCTTTTCTCAGTTTTACAGAGATATTAAATAATTGATTAATATCACACCTCCACTAACAATGGGGCTGGAACCCTGGTCTCCTGACTGTAATACATTTTTTTTTTTCAATACAGCACGTGCTCAGTGCTTATGGAGTAATACTGAGCAAAAGTGTCCAGAGTCGCATGTGCGGTGACAATTTTCAAGGAACAGACATCTTAGGAAAGAGTTCCCCACAGAGACTTATAACCAGTATGGCCCATAAATGCCCTTAAGGTAGGCGTGGCACTTGGAGGGGTTACTAACCACTCGGCTGTTTTGGGGGGTAATGGCTGGGGTATGTGTGTCTCAGTTTTCACTTGGTCGTTAATAATCTTGAATGGTTAGAAGTAAAGTAAGGCTTGGATACCATCAGGTAATGCATTGGTAAGAAACACAACTTTAATTAACTGTACCAGCAGATACAGTTAATTATCCGACTCAGATAAGTCAGAAAGCAACAGCTTATATGAAGTGGAAGAAAACATTTTGTCCTGGTGAACCTGATGGGAGGAGGGTTGATTCTCAGAAGGGTAACAGATGTTATCAGTGACAAGGGTATCTTAGCTCTTTCCACAAATGTGCACCATTTCCTATTCTTAGACTTTGCAGGGGGAGGAAACTCATGGCATATATTTGGGCTGTACAACCTGTTGAATGCAGAGCCTCCCATACTGATGCTTGGAGAAAGATTGTCTGGTTTTTAGCATGAATTCTGGGACTAACTCTGGCCGACATCAAATCCTCTACATGTCTGAAGGAATCATCTCAGGCACAGGTCTCAGGTGGAGGCTGTACTTTTCAGATGCTTTCTCAAGAGTAGATTTATACCATCTGCTGTTGTTTGCGTCTTTAAAAAAACCCGTAACACTGTCTTCGTCACAGGAATAGTGGTAAATAGGAAGAGGACAAACTGGCCTTCAAGAATAGGTCATTACCAGGAAAAATTACTTCAGGAGGATGGGATCTTAAGTTGTTTCAGCCAATCAAAAGGAAGAAAATAATAACAGGAAAGAAGGAGATCATAATAAAACATAACTGCGGGAAAACCTGTTTTTAAATTACTTCAGAATAAACCTAAAGCAACTGGAAAGGAGGATAATAATAATAGGAAATAACATTAAATGGAACTCCGCCCAGCAACCAGAAGGTCCTCTTGTCCCGGAGCCGCAGCTAGGGCCTCAGCCTCCCCTCTCCCCCGGCACGTCCACTGTCATCAACGCCTCTTCAGTTGCTCCTTCAGAAGCCAGAACATCTTTTCAGCGAAACCCCAGTTCCCACGCCCCTTCTGCGCTTAAGCTGTGGGTGTGCCAGGAAGGTACCGCTCTGTGTTCCTTGGCTGTAGTGGTTCTCCCACCTCACATCCACGGCAGCCGCATCTGTGGCTGGGTACCTGCCATGCGCTAGGACCAGCCTTTTGTATCGATTATCCCACTTACTCAGTGGGCCGAGTACTGTTGTTCGCTAGTATGGAATTGTTTTCAGGTATCAAAGTTCTCCGAGTTGTTACTGGCTCTAAGCAGTGCTGATGGCACTATGTGTCCCTCCTGCAGTTGGTTTGGGTACAGCCCTCAGCACCTTCTTAATGGAAGGGCTTTCGTATTTAATATTTAGAATTCACTGGGACACTGGATCCATAGCCTACAAATGGCATTTTAATGTCGATACTTCGGGCATTTTTTTTTTTTTTTAAGAAATTAGGATTTCCTTTTTTTTTTTGTTTTTTCACCAAAGCCTAGCATTAAGAAACACTCCAGTGCAGGATGCTTTCATTTCCCTAGGTATTCTGGATATTTCCTTAGTTAGCAAGGTGTCCATTACATGCAACATGGACAATTTTATCTTTATTTTTTTTAACATCTTTAGTGGAGTATAATTGTTTTGCACTGGTGTGCACTGGTGTGTTAGTTTCTGTTGTATAACAAAGTGAATCAGCTATATGTATACATAACATCCCCATATCTCTTCCCTCTTGCGTCTCCCTCCCTCCCATCCTCCCTATTCCATCCCTCCAGGCGGTCTCAAAGCACCAAGCTGATCTCCCTGTGCGATGCACCTGCTTCCCACTAGCTATCTAGTTTACATTTGGTAGTGTATTTATGTCCATGCCACTCTCTCACTTCAAACATGGACAATTTTAACTAAAAAGTAACCAGACATAGATTTCATTAAGGTCTTCATTAACATATAATAAAAGGTACATTCAGTATTTTAAATTTGTTTTACTTCACACTGGAGACCTAGTATGTTCTTATAAGGAATAGAACTAATAAGTTCTCTTGTTTGCTTTTTGTGGCTTCAGACGATTTCATGAATGAATCAGTTAATATCAACAAACCCACTGTGGACCAACAAGGCCTTTTTTATTCCTAGAAGCTCAACACCTTAGAAAATTTTTATTCTTGTATTCAAGGCTAGACTTTTTTTTTTCTTTAAAGAGACATAATTAGGCCATTCAAAGATCCTGTTAAGTACAGGTTAAACTTCAGTCAAATAGCACTACTGGAATGAAATCAATGAATAGATGTTGCTTTTCCCTGAAACGAACAGAGATGAACCTTTGGAAACCTGCTCCATGGGTTGTTCCGGCAAAAGAAACAAGCTGGTGACTAAGTGAGAGGCACATTCAGAGCTTCCCACACACTGTTCAACACACAGCGCAGCGATTCTGATTAGTAGGAAGGAGAAAGGAAGACGGAAGGCCAGAAGGCCAGAGAGCTGCCAGGTGGACCCACCAACAGATGCACCTCAGAGAAGGGGCTTCTGAGTGTCCCATCACTCACGCACGTTAGAATTATCACAGAGGCGCAAAATCTAAACTTCCAATTCAAATCGCTGCTTTGAAGCCTGGGATAATCAGTTGTCTTCCCCCTGCTGGCTAGAAAAGCCTCCTGTTTGCTCAGTTTACACAGTTTATCCCACCGCGAGTCATAGATATTCATCTGTTCTCTACACATAAGAAGTGTTTTAAGAATGTCAGATGACTGCTCTCTTCTGGGTTTTCCACTTTCCTCCTTTCAAAGTGGCCATTATTGTTTGCGGGGTAGGGGAAGGAGTTGGAAACCAAATTGTTAAACCAACAGAATGCTTTGTTATCAGTGGCACAATCTTGGAGACATTTAACTCTGATAATTTAAGGAAAAAAAAATCTTAATCTTCAGATGAATATATTTTTGATTTTTATTCATATTACTGCTGCTATGCAACCCACAAACATACCAAGTTCTGCTTACTACAGGCCCTGCCGAGTTATCCACGTCCTTGACAAGAGATCTAGTTCTCGCTGAGGAGCTTCTGACAAATAGCGGAACAATGCAACAACTGGGAACTTAAAAATCTGTGCTCCACAAAGCAAACCGGCAAACGAACTTACCAATGTTTTAATCACAGTTTAAGAAGATGACAGATTTTTATTTTGGCGACAATCTAGCACTCAAGAATTATTGCCGATGATTTAGAAGAGAACAAATTTGTTGGACCAAAGAGACAGGGAAAGTCTTCAAACAACTATAACTGCTCTTGTATTTTCACCCTTTTGGAATGCCTTAAGGAAGAGAATTTAAAAAATGTAGTTTACACATTGCATAAAGCACTCCTTTATCCTATGACATTCTTAATAGGGTACACGTTTCATTGACAGTTTTATAGATTCTTTACACTGTAAAGACAATTTTTGCTTTGATGGAAAACTATGTGTTGTTTAGAGTACGCTCTTCCAGGTTCTCAGTTCCTGCTTTTATGGGGCGGGCTCTGCACCTTTCAGGCCTTTGAGCTATTTTAGGACTACATAAGTTGTAGCAGCAATGCAAAATAATTCTTGTTTACAGACGTGTAGGTACATTCTGTCTGGTGCGGGTTCCTCTGACTTTCCTCTTTCACTGTGGAAGAAGCCAGGTGTGCCTCTGTTTGCACATTCGTTTGAATACTTAAAAGTTTAAATAAAATCTTGAGGACATGTTTATTTTCTACCTGTATGAGAGTCGTGATTTTACTTTTATTTGTTTGGAAAACTATCCTTTAACAACAATATAAAGGAAAAAGAGTTTTATGAGTGGAAAGTTTTGAAATTCAGGGTCTATAGTCTCTGATCTCAGAGATGGTTACCACTCTTCTCTTTCTCCCTTTTTGTACCATAATTTTACTTTTCTTTCATTCAGCTAGTACTCCTTTTTTCCTTTTTTATTTTAAACCTCAGATAAACTTTTTGACAAGTGGCCAAACAATGCAACCATTTGTACTTTAAAGCTGTGCTCCACAGTTAAAACGAACAAGCCCATGAACATTTTAATCGCGGTTAAAAAATTACTTGTCTTTATTGTGGCAACAGTGTAGCATGCAAGAAATACTACTGATGATTTGTTAGAGAACTTAACTTTGTTGGATTTAACAGGGGAAACTCTTTAGATAATTATAAGCGCTGTACATTTTCACTTAACTCCCTTTTGGAAGTTCATCGTTTTATTGGGACCACCCATGGGAATCCCTACACTACATTCAAAGGAAACATCTCACAGCATCCAATAAACACAAGCAGGCGCTCACACTCACCGTGCCCCACCAGAGCGCGTCCGCGTAGGTGGAGAATTCCTTATTGGCGTCCTTTTCCACCAGGTAGACAAGGAAAGACGAAAAAATCAGAACCAAAAATCCTATGTACCAAGCTGTGATTAATTCCTAGATATAAAAGGAATGAGAGATTTTTAGAGGTGAAAAATCTTTGAAAAAGGGAAAAAAAAATACAAGCATGATTCCATGCGTTTGACTACTGCTTGGATACTTATGATGACTTTCACATAATCCACTACACCTTGTGTCCCACATTGCTTTAACCAATTACTGAAAAGATTAAGTTTGCTTTCGATGGGTTTAGTAAATATCATGGCAGCAAGGGAAGAAGTTAAGAACACCCTGCCCGCACCTGGGCGAGGGCACCCCCACCTTGCTGTGCGCGTAGACCACGGAGCCCAGCAGCTTCCAGGTGCCGCCGCGCCTGTCCATGCGCACCATGCGCAGGATCTGCAGGAAGCGCAGGCTGCGCAGCGCCGACGTGGCGAAGATGTTACCCTGAGTTTTGGCAGAAACTACCGCTATGGAGGCGATGAGAACGATGGTATCTGAAAGAAAGAGGGTGAAGCAGCCGTAAGTAGCACGACCGGGAGGTTTTAGTTTCCAAAACAGGATTTCAGAAAGGGTCCTTTTGACCTGTTTGGGGCCCAGGGAACTGCTCTTGAGCCCTAGGCCGGCATGCGCCACGCGGGCTCTGTGATCGCCGAGGAGTGGAAGGCGGAGGACGTGGCCTCCTGCGCCTGCTGCCCCGGTCTGACCCTCGGCCGTTCTCTGCTTTAGCCACGCAGGTTTGGACCACAAGCCGTTTAACCTTCAAAGGCCTGGACACCGCCTTCGGAAGGTCCGGTGCTCGGAGGGCTTCGGGCTGGCGCAGCGTCCCCACGGCAGTCCTGGCGGCACGGGTGGTCCTGCCTGTAGGAAGGGGCTTCTGCCTCTGCCCCTGCCCAAGCACCGCGGCCTGCTGGCTGATGCCACAGAGAGTACATAGCCTGTCCAGATGCGAAAGGGCTACTTCGCATAATCATGTCTCCTGTTTTCTTGCCGAAGAAGCTGGTAGCTCTGTTCTGCAGAAAATTCACTTGTGTTGTGGAGTCTGCACCTTTGCAGCCTCTTAGACAAAGGCCCCAACTGAGCGGACCGCTCTAAGCGTTCTGCTCTGAGTGCTTTGTACGGCGCCAGTCAGTTCTGGGTAAGTTCTGTACACAAGTTAATTAACATTCCATTTATTACAATAGAGGAGGTGATCATACATACCACGCACTGCATGGGAATGGATATTTAATGTTTGACATATTGACGTCTGGCTTAAATCATATCTGCCCTTTTGTCAGCTAAAAAGAGAAAAAGAGCAGCTAAGGAGAGCATAGAAAAGATGAATGACTTAATCGCTCCAAGGGTAAACATCTGAGCGAGGGAAGGTAGGCTTTGAAGTGGGAGAGGTGAAGTGGGATGAATGGCTTCCAATGGAGATTTTACAGTAGGTTAGCTTGACCTGATCATCCTCAGTAAGATGTCCTTCCTGCTGCGAGTGGGCTGTGCATGACCAGGTGGCCACACTCCAAAGAAGAGCTCCACCTCAGGGGGTCGCAGTTACTGATGTTTCTGGGAGCCTCAGGGGTAACTGCTGTGTGAATGTGTATCCTCTGCCCAGCCCAGTCGTGCCTGCATTCAGGAAGGCCTGGCCTCTGGCGTGCACTAACAGCATCCTTAGACTCACTCTCCTGGTGCCCTTTTGGGTCAGGACTTGGAGAGGGTCAGGGGCTGGCAGGACGTGGGTGAGCCAAAGGGATTCCTCCAGTCGCATCTGCACGCTGCGGGAGCTTGTGGCTGGGTGCACAGCCAGCCACAAATGCATCCTTTTCTCTCGCTCCATAGCTGTCGGAGATGAGAAGGAACTACCTACGTTGATACGGACATCAAAGACGTTAAGCGAGTAAAGTCAGTCGCAAAGCAGTATGTACAATGTACTCTTATTTAATAACACATATATTATACACCTAGGAAAGACATGTGAGAATAGACACAGAATATTACTATGAATTCTCTCTGGGGTAGAGAGTTGTGGTGAGTATGTGGATAAAGGGACTTTCTAAGTTATTAATTTTGGTAATGTTGGAGTTTTATAACAATGAAAATGTCTTTTGAAGTCAGGAAAAAACTTTAAAAAAGAGTTAAATGTGAAAACATCTCTTGGTTTTCATCATTTGGAGGGACTTACTTCCAAGACAAGTGGTCTACAGACAAAGGGACACTCCTTATATGGCCCTGATGGATATACATTTTGCTTCTATTTCTCATTGTAGGCCTGCTTCCTCACAAGTGTACAAAGGAAAGAAAAAGGTACAATATTAGAAAAAATTGAAGTAAGTAAATGACCAGTAGGGGTGCAGAAAGCACAGACTTAAAATTTACTTTGTGCCAGGCACTTCCTTTAGTTCTATGTCTTTTACAAATGTTATATTATTTTAATTCTTATAACACCCCGTGTTGGTTAGGTATTCCACAGATGAAAAAAGCGAGACACAAAAAACATATATTGTATTAGTTTTAAAAAATCAGCTATAGGCCTGTTACACTACAGCACAAAAAGTATGCTGTAAAGTCAGTTCATTAGAGAAAACCTAGAAAAAGGAACCCTGTAGGTTTGAGAAAATTTCAAAAATTATGCACACAGTGAATCATAATCTAAAGGTTTTAAGTCACATAATATGTAAAGGTAACCACAGATTAGATTTAATACGCTCATTTTAATTCAGATCAGAAAGTCAGAGTTCAATGAAATGAAGTCATAAATGAGCAACCACATGGCACACAATGAATGCACCCACAAAAATGTTTCTTGTTGGATTACAGTCATCCACGGGAATTTTGCTGTCAGTACCACCTAGATATTTCCCAGCTTAATATTTTAGAAGTTATGAGTACTCTTGACTTTCATTTTTATTTATGTATTTATTATTTTTGTAGACCATTACTTAGCACAAGGTTGGATACTTGTATCCGAAGTATCTAGAACAGTGCCTGAAACATGGTAGGCACTCAATAAATGTTTATAGAATAAACTTAGGTTAATAAACATTTAAAGGTAGCTTGAGCTTTGTTCTCTTACCACATCAGTGGCTTAATAACTGGAACATCAATCTAAAATACCTGTAAGTTAATCAAACCAGCACAGAATTCTACAGCAATATAATAATTCACAGCCGTCAGCCACTGATGTTTATAAAAAGGAAATCTCCCTAAGATTTACCTTTTATGACAGTGGGCAGCCGTGGTCTTTAAAGATGGCATCATAGGAGACCCCTGAACCACCGCCCTCCCAAAGACACACCAAATGAACAGCTACACACGCAGTAATTCCCTCGGCAGGAAATCCAGAAACTAGCCAAGGGGCTCCTATGCACTGGGAGAATGAGAAAACGCTCACATCAAAACGGCAGGAGAGGCTGAGATGCACTCGCCATAAACCCCAGTCCTAGCACACAGCAGGGACCTCCAACTCCCAGCTTTGCCCTGGGAGACTAAGGGTTTGAACCCCATTTTTAGTGCCCCAATTTTTAAGACTCCCACCAGAGGGATGGCCCCCCCCCCCGAACACCTAGCTCTGAAAGCCGCGGGGCTTGCATCTGTGAGCCCCACACACTACAGCAAACACAAAAGCAGGTATTAGCGGGCGTGAGCACTGGGCCTCTGCTCACCCACCACCCGTGTCCAGGCAGAAACGCCAGTGTCCCCGATCTTTCCTGAAAGGGTTCTACTTGCGTACTTTAAAAGCTGCTGCCTGCCAGTCAGGCCTCTAATTTTTAGCATCCAACTAGGGAGTGACTGCAGTTCTCTCCTGAGACCACAGAAGCCGGTGGACGCCTCCCCTGGCCTCTCCCTCTGGCCTGCTCCAGTTTGCCAGTATCTCCCTCAGGAAGCTTTTATACACATCTGGTGCCCCAGCTTTTGAGGCTGCTGCTTGACAGAAGAACCCCTGGGTCACCTGGCTCTGACAGCCAGTGGGGCTTTCATTCAGGAGTCCCACAGGCCTGTAGCAAAGAAAGAAGTTCATAATGGGTTCCGGACCCCATAGCCCCCTCCCCCACTCCATGGCTGTATAACCGGGCCCAGTAGAGAGGGGACAGGTGAAATGCCCACCTCCCAGTTTCTCCTTGGATGGGGTCTAATGACACACTTTCCCCACTGCTCCTAAACTGGACCCTGTATCTAGGAGCTGACTGTGACCCTCCCCCTGGGACACTGATCGGTCTGGGCACATATTCAACCACTGGGCGCCACTAAAAACAGGGAAAGTGATTAGACAATCACATAGGTTTTAGAGACAACCAGAAGCCAAGGCTGGGCTGATTGATGACGTTCATCTCCCACACAAGATCAGTCTGTCAAGACTGGGGTAGGAGGCTGTTCATCTAACACACAGAAACCCACACAAAGAGTCAAGGAAAATGAAGAAACAAAGTAATATGTTCCAAACAAAAGAACAAGATAAACTACCAGAAGCAGATCTTAATGAAACAGACAACCTAGAAGAAATAGTTAAATTACTAGAAACATACAACCTACCAAGGCTAAATCAGGGAGAAATAGAAAAGCTGAACAGACCAATTACTAATAAAGAGATAGAATCAGTAATCAAAAACCTCCTAACAAACAAAAAAGTCCAGGACCAGAAGGCTTCACTGGTGAATTACACCAACATTTAAAGAGTAAGTGCCAATCCTTCTCAAACTCTTCCATAAAAAGAACAGAAGAGGACGAAACACTTCCAAACTCATTTTATGAGGTCAGCATTACCCTGATATCAAAACCAGATAAGGACACCACAAGAAAGTAAAAGTACATATGCCTGATGAATGTAAATGTAAAAGTCCTTAATGAAATCCCAGCAAACTGAATTCAACAGTACATTAAAAGGATCATACACCATGATCAAGTAGGATTTATTCCAGGGATGCAAGGACGGTTCAACATCTGCAAATCAATCAATGTGATGCACCACATGAACAAAAGGAAGGATAAAAATTATATGATCATCTCAATAGATATAGAAAAAGCACTTGACAAAATACACACACTTTCATGATAACAACTCTCAACAAAGTGGATATAGAGGGAATGCACCTCAACGTAATAAAGGCCACAAAACAAGCCCATAGGTAACATCATACTCAGTGGTAAAAAACTGAAAACTTTCCCTTTGTTTTGTTTCCCAGGAACAAATTATGATGCCCACTCTTGCCAGTTTTATTCACCTTAGTATTGGAAGTCTTAGCCATAGCAATTAGGCAAGAAAGAGAAATAAAAGTCATCCAAATCAGAAAGGAAGAAGTAAAACTGTCACTATTTGCAGATGACATATTATATATAGAAAACTCTAAAGACTCCACCAAAAACTGTTGGAAATAATAAATGAATTAAGCAAAGTTGCAGGACACAAAATAAATATTCAAAAATCAGTTGTGTTTCTATATACTAACAACAATTTATCAGAAAGAGATATTAAGGAAAAAATCCCATTTACAATAGCATCAAAAAGAATAAAATA